ATATGTTAATAGATGTTATTATTTATTTAAATGATATAATTATTGATATGAAAATTAAATTATATCACAGATGATTATCAATGATGAATGATGATAATATACAATTTAAATTATTTATATTATCATATCAAACAAGAATTAAATGATGAAACAAATAAAAAGATAATAAATAAGAAGTATCAATGAAATGATGATATGATAATAACAAATTAAATAATTTAAACATCAACACACTAATACAGAATGAAGAATGACTATTTAATATGTAATATAAATTAAACAATTATAATTAATAATAATGATTTAATGTTCATCTTCAACTTTCATTCATGATAATAACTCATTAATTTTATCATTAATCATTATATTTACTTTCTTATTATTTTCTTTATTCTTTCTTTTATCATTTTATATTTATTTTATTTCAATTTCATCAACAGATATATTCATTTAATACAGATATCAAAGTAGAAAGATATAACTAATAATATACAAATATGTTATTCTCATATTTAATCACAAATATTTACATCTAATAATATTTTCTACTATTTTTTTATCTTTTAATCATTTAACAATAAGTATTTTGCAATATGATAATTCATTTCAATGAACTATCAAACATAAACACCAAGTTTTAAACAAACAATGAATACATTCATTACATTTAGACAACAATTAAGAAATAATTAACAAGTTCACAAATCATTATAATAATATAAAGATGAATACGAATAAAATGCATAATTTCGTGACCATTTTAATTTAATATTTTTAATTTTGAATGTTCTGAAATGCAAATAATCAATAAATAAATTTTCTGCTAATTTTTTGGCTTCCTTTTTACATAGACAAAATTAGATGCAAATTATTTTTACTTTTTAATTATTTTTCGTTTAATTAATACAAATAAAAATTTTACTACAAACTCTTCCTTTTTTACTTCTCATCTCCAAAATCATTATATTTTCAAAAATTATTGATTGTATTTTTGAATTATTATTCATTACCTCTTAGTGGAAAAACAGTGCAGTAAATTTTACCTTTTGTTATCTGGATTTTTATGAACTGTCGTATAAAAATTACAATTTAAATGATTTGAAGTTCTAATTTATAAAACTAGTGAATAGAGTTCTAAAGAAGAATTAAATCTTAATAAAATTAAACAAGGAGATATCAAAAACTAATAGACTTATATCAAAAACATTAAATCTACTCCATTTTATCTTTTATATCTGTGTTTTATGAATGTTTGTTAATTATTTATTTCAATTAATGAATTATATATTCTAAAATTCATCATAAACCACTCAATGGTATAAATCTATATGGGTGATTAATTAAATATTGATCAACCAATTGATTTAACTCAGAAAGCATTCTGACTTTTTAAGTGATCGTAGATTGATCTGGCAATACCTCTGCGCTTTTTACACTCGTTACCTCTGGCAGACATGTTACCATCGGATTTAGCAGGTCTCTCATAGTAATCTGTGAAAGCCTCAGCCCAAGCTTCAACGGTACTGCCTGCCTTTTTTGCAGCATTAGCAACTTTATTGTAGTAACTATCTTTGAGTTCCTTAGAAATAAACTTGGATTCAGCAATAGCCCAGTTATTGTCATTAACATCAGAGTCTTTAGTCATAACTTCTAAGCAAACTTTAGCAAAACTAACTCTTCGTTTGAAAGACCATTGGACAGAGCCAAAACCACATGATCCTTTGTTCAGTGTATAACTTGTCATCTTTTTAAAACCAGCATTAGGATCAGTAGTCCAATCTCTAATATATTTGATATCAGCAATTGTCTTAGCTTTACCATCAGTACTACCAGAAGGTAGACGAAATCCGAAGTTATGTAACTTAGAGAAAGCATACTCAACAATCCCATAATTCCCTTCTGCTGCAATATTAGCCATGAGACCAACTGCTGCCTCATTGCTGTACCCATTATCAATGGCAGTATCATAAGCAAGAGTCAATGCATCTGCCTTGCTGCTCCATTTTGTTGATTTCAGGGCATCTCTAATTTTAGTGTGTTTAATCTTAACATTTGAAACAGAGGAAGGATTATTTGATGACAAATATTCAGCAGAAACATACTTCCCATTATTCAATTTGGACCAACCGTTGGTAGTGGAAACAACACAGACAGATTCACCCTTAAGGAAGTCTTTACTCCTTCCATATGTAATACCAGGACCATCACGTTGATGGACACCAACACCAGTGACATACATAATTTTACAAGAAGAATCCATACAGGTTTTCTGACCGTTGCAATCACATTCACATCGATTAGTACCACAATAATCATTAGTTTTACCACAATAACCCCATATAGAGCAGCATTGCCCAGAAGGGCAACTCTTGAAACCCTTCCCACAGTGAATAGCAGTAGATGTAGCAACAATCAAAACCAAGATGAGCATATGAATATCCATTAATTAGTCCAATATTAATAGATCCTTCTATTGTAAAAACCTTCAACTATTTTGAACAGGGCACGAAATTTTACATATTTTGATTCAGTTTTATTTCTATTTTTGTTCCTTTTATCCTTTTACGAACATTTTAATGTTTATATTCTATGTTTGTACTATTTCTATTCTTTATCTGTTGGTTTATTCTTTTCTTTTCATTATCACTTCTCAGTCATATATTATTTCAATTTTATGATGGTCCATCTTTACTTTTCTTGTTACATAAAATGATTGACATTCGATCTATCTTAATGCTAATATTTATTATTAAAACATAAAATGTTGAATACTTGCTTGAATAAATAATATTTTGTGAATTTATTTTTATTTTTATCATTTGTGTATCAAGTTATTATCATATTATTCTATCACTATTTTCTTATCTTATTATTTCATTTATGTTTTATATCTTTTATTCCATTTCTTCATTTTTAATGCTATCATTAGTACTTTTGCTTTTGAAGAACATAAGGTGATGACAAATAACAATGGTATATAAAAGAAGTGATAAAAATAGAGTAATGAATTATTAAAAATAACATGTCAACGAATGAAAAATAATATAAAAATATACAACTTTTAACCAATAAATCAAACACTTTAACAAAAATTAAAGTATAAATTCGACATAACATCTAATACTTTTATAAAAATAAAACATTACGTAAAATTTAGCACAAAATTTCGTAACCATTTGAACAAACTCGATGTAGAATAATACACTTCTTTTTCAATAAAAAACAAAAAAAGGAATCAATTATGAATTACCTATATTTAGGTTTTCATAATGTTGAGAATTGAGCAAAAACCGTTTCTTCAACATGCTTTATTTCATCTGAAATAAAGTTTTTTTCAAATACCCTCGACTTAAATGATTCCTCATTTAAGTTGCTGCTTTATTTATACCTTAATTAAATGAGTATTAAAACTCTTCATTGTTTATGTGTTATTATTAGAAGAATATATCCATAACCACTATGAGACTATGACCTATCTTCTTTATCATCGACACCAATTAAAGAATCCCTTTTTTGATAACACACCATGTACTCAGCCAAATCTATCGTTGATAAATATGTTACGTCCTAATTAATAATAATACTACCACCATAATAATTAAATAGTCTCATATCAAAATAAATAATAATCCTTAATAAATAAGGATAAATAATAATCTTTATTGATAATGCCTCCATAATAATCAGTCATAATAAAAAAATAACTATCTAATAATAGGTGGTGCATTACCCCCCACCAAGGCACATCACAACCAATCCATAACTGGAAGAATCGAAGGATGGAAATATTTTAGGGTTTTGTTTGGTGCTCTGACGTGCTATTTTCGAATCCTTCTTTTTCAATAAAAAACTAAAAATATACAAAAAAGAGAGTAAGGGAAATGTTTATGCTTTTGTTTATTACATTAACGCTTTCTAAATCTTATGATTGTGGAACAGATGTCGATTGCACAATGAATGGCGTAACATTAATTGTAAGTGGAAGTGGGAAAATGAACGATCAATTATATATTTGTGAAAAGGATGGGTTCGAAAATATAGAAGAGATTATAATAGAAGAAGGAGTTACATACATTGGAGAGGATTCATTTTCAAACTGTAAATTCTTAACAAAAATTGCTATTTCCACTTCAGTTACATCCATTGGTAATTCTGCATTTTATTCATGTACGTCATTATCATCTATTGACATTAGCAACAACATCATTTCTATTGGTGACTATGCATTTGAATCCTGTACATCTTTAACAAAAGTTAATATTGGAAATAGTGTTTCAACAATTGGTGAATATGCTTTTTATAATTGTGTGTCATTAACATCAATAGATGTGGACACATCAAATCCATCATATTCATCTCTTGATGGAGTATTATACAATAAAGACAAGACATTATTAATTCAATATCCAATTGGAAATTCAAGAACATCATATTCTATCCCTCCTTCTGTTACAGCAATTGCCAGTGATGCATTTGATTTATGTAAAACATTAATAACAATTAAAATTCCAGATTCAGTCCCCTTTATTGATATTTCTGCATTTAACTATTGTACGTCATTAACATCAATAGATGTGGACACATCAAATCCATCATATTCATCTCTTGATGGAGTATTATATAATAAAGACAAGACATTATTAATTCAATATCCAATTGGAAATTCAAGAACATCATATTCTATCCCTCCTTCTGTTACAGTAATTAGTGAAAGTGCATTTTCGCATTGTACATCATTAACGTCAATAAACATTCCAGATTCTGTTACTGAAATTGATGATTTTGCATTTTCACATTGTACGTCATTAACAACAATAAGTATTCCTAATTCTGTTACAATAATTGGTGATGGTGCATTTTCACATTGTATGTCATTAAAAGCAATAAGTATTCCTAATTCTGTAGAAAATATTGGGGATAATACATTTTATTCATGCACATCATTAACATCAATTAATATCCCTAGTTCTGTTATATTCATTGGTAAAGCAGCATTTTCTCATTGTACATCATTAACATCAATCGAGATTCCTGGTTCTGTAGCGAAAATTAGTGATAATACATTTTATTCATGCACATCATTAACATCAATTAATATGAGTGATAATATTACATCTATTGGGAATTCTGCATTTTATAATTGTTCATCATTAACATCAATTACTATCTCCGACTTTGTCACATATATTGGAGAAAAAGCATTTGGTGGTTGTCAATCGTTATCATCAATTGTTATAGGCAATTCTGTTGCATCTATTAGTGAGTATATGTTTTACGATTGTACGTCATTAACAGCAATAAGTATTCCTAATTCTGTTACATATATAGGTGAAGGTGCATTTTCACATTGTATATCATTAACTTCGATAAACATTCCAGATTCTGTTATTGAAATTGATGATTTTGCATTTGAATCATGCATAACATTAACATGTGTATCATATAAAGGAACAAAAGAAATAACAAATATAGGGAAAGAAATATTTGGATTTTCAAGTATAGATTCAATACATGTACCAGACAATTATGAAAAGGACACATTTGCAAATTATAAAATAATAAAAGATAATGAGATATGTGATAAAGATAACACAGATGGAGCAGAACCAAAAATGATAACGACTATAATAGCTTGCTTATTGGTTCTAATTATTTTCTAAACACTGTCAGTGTTTTAATTATATTCGTTATGAGAAAATCAAATGAATATTCTTTGCGTATTTCTTCCAATATCCTTTTTCTTTTCTGACATAAAAATAACAAAATATTAATTTTAAAATTTTTAGAAATTAAAAACAAATGTTTCAAATCCTCTATATCATTTTTCGAGAACCAAAATAAGTAATGGAATTATGCATCTAAATAAAATGCTAAAAAGACAAGGTGTAAAATATTTTGCACAATAGAATATTCCTATTTATTTTCCGCTAATAAACTAGATGCTTTTTTTATTGCCCCTTTTTATTTTCCCCTTTAAAAATTTGTGTTTATTTCTTCCTTTATTCTCTCTTTTTAACTTCTTTCTTTTTTATTCTTTTATTTCCTTTTATCTCTTTTTTATTTGTTTTTTTCATTTCAGTGGCAAATTATTTTCCATTTTGAATAATTGCCACAAATGTTTTTGATTATTTTTGTCCAAATTTTTATCAATCTTTTCAATAGTTCTTCATATCTCAATAATTATTGAAAATTAAAGAACTTCAACTTAGTTGTTTGAAGATGAAACAGTTTGAAAACAGAATACTTGATGCGTTTTTTATGGGTGCAAAATATTTTGCTTCTATAACATATTGCACTTCTATTTACTCAACTATTCCTTTAAAAAGATAATTTTGTTAATGAAAATTAATTAGAGTTAATTTCTTTATAATTTTTGAATGACTCTATCATTTTTTCTATTGAAATATATTCTCTTAGTTTTTTTGGTTTTCCTGTTATTTCATCGTCCTTTCTTTTCTTTATGAAACTTTCCATTAAGAAAAGGGTTATATAACCATTCTGCTTCAATTGTTCAATACATTCATCAATTTTTATTGAATAAATTATTGGTTCATTTGTTAATTCTAATACTTTCATTATTTGTCTATTCATTCCTCTCATAAACCCCGGATATTTAACATTTCCATATCTAATATGTACCATACATTCTTCCCTTTCCTTCCCTGCTATGTTAATTCTCTTAACATATACTATTAATCCATATTTGTTTTTTGATAAAAATGGGAATATAATTGTTTCCTTTTCTTTAATATTATGTGGTAACTTATATATATTATTGTTCTTGGACATTCCACATACCATACACTTCGGTGGAACTTTAAATGTTTTCATTATCTTTTCAAATTCTTCTTCTGTTATCATGCTATCATATTCACGTAGTTCATTCTTATATGTTTCACTTTGAGGTGTTTGTATGTTGGAAGTTTCTGAATCAATTGTTGGCAATCTTTCCTCCACTCCTTGTTCTTCAATATTTTCTTCATCATCCCTCATTTTGTGTTCTCCTTCACTATCTCTTTCATCCTGTTTACGTTTCCCCTGTTCACTCACTACACACTTCTTCATTTGAAATGGTGCAATTTCATTGAAAAACACCTCTTTTGATTTTCTTTTCCTAAACTCAACTTTATTCCGTGGACGTACATTTGTGTTGTGTCTCATTTTATTCACAATTACACTTCCCATCAAGCTATAGCTAGTGGGCATTTCAATATTGGAAATGGATTTATCAGTCCATTTTATCCTAGTTTCTTTTGACTTGAAAGCAAAGGATGGAAGGTCTTCATAACTAATAAGATGTTTTAACGACATCCTTCTTCTTTCTTTCATTAGGTGACAACAAGGCCATGCTGCTGCAGGATTGACATGTCTTATTTGACAGCTAATGCAATACTGTTTCTCATCACATATTACGTGATCAGTCAATACCTTGTATTGTGTTTTTAAGACCTTCTTTGCAAACTCACTCAGTAGTGTAAAATGAGGATCGTTGTTATCTATAATTTCTTCTGGAAGATCAATCCCAATTATATTATTAAACATTGTATTTCCAAGTGCATAAACGTTGTCTGTCAATAAATAGAAAGGAACCTGGCTATGTTTAATTATTTTTTTCAAGTGCCCAAAGAATCCTTCTACTCTATTTGTTGTAAAATCTCGATACATCCCATATTTGATACATTCAGAAGGAATCCAGTTTTCTTTGTGTTCGATTAAATCAATTATACACATTAGTCCTTTATTGATATGTATTCCCTTTGCTTCTTCCATCATTTGTTGAATGTTATCGTGTGATGTGTCAGGTTCATCTGCTGAATTTATAATATCACCTGTATCTGGTTCGAACAAGTGCTCATCATTTTCCTCGTCACTACTTTCGTTATCATCATGGTACCTACTTTCATCCTCACTGTCTTCTTCTAATTTTTTAATATTTTTCATTACAATACTCTTCCATGTTTCAATTAAATCATCTTCATTCAACTTCATGTTCATTGTTAAATGAAATAATTTCATTATTATATGATCATTCTTGAAATATTTTGTCAATGACCTTTCTATATGAATTCTGCAGAAGAATAGTTTGGAATGTGGAAATACATGTTTTAAAGCATTATATTGAGCAATACTGCGATCACATACGATGATTTCGGGCCCATAATTTAAAATATTGTGAAGTTGATGGAGGAATAATTTATACGAATTTTCGGATTGATCAAATAAATATCCAAATGATAGGAGTTGGTTAAAAGAATTATCATCCTTTACAATAACAGCATACAAGTTTTTATTATATATATTTGTTTTAGCAGTATCATCAACATACCATCTTCTTTGACTGTATTCCATTTGGGCTACTTTCTTGTGAATGAACATTAGGGAATGAATATAACCGTTGGTGAAAGTGTTTGTTAATTTAATAAATGAATCATTTTCAAAAAATGATTCTGAAAGAAATATATTTTCAAGGATTTGATTTCTGTCTTCTTCTCTCTGAATTTGTCTAAATTTTCGAAGGGGAATTTGAATATGAGGATGATTTGCAAGAAACTTGATTATTTCGTTGTTTGTTTTTGGAATTAAATGTTTCTCAGATTTTAACAAAGGGCATGTTTTTGATACAACAAAGAAGTAGTCCAATGGATGCTTGTGTTGATTCATTTCTGTGACACTGTTTACATTATCAAACCCTAATGTTACAATTAATTTATATTCACAATCTCTTCCTTTACATGTTTCTTTTGTCTTTCCTGAATGATTACAATAAAATACAATTTTTAGATTATTTTTATTTACTTTAGTTGATTTTGTATGAATGGGGAGAAATAAAATTATTATTAGTTTCCTAAGGGTGGTAATAACAGCACTTTTGTCATTGGCATCGTGACATTTAATATCATCGTGAATATAGGTTTTAAATATTTCAATTCTTTTTTCATATTCTAGTTCTTTTGGAACCATCAATTCTGATGCAAACATTTCTTTTTGTATAATTCTCAGTTTCACTTGTTCATACCAATTTATTGTTTTACAAACATTCATCATCCTTTCTATAATTCTTCTTAACAATGCGTTTAATTTATTCAATTCAATAATTAGTGATTCAATGTTTTGTGAATATAATAATTTTGACGTTAAAACAAGTATTTCATCCATTACATCTTTGTTGATATGCTCTTTGTATTGATTAATAATAATATTCATTATGTCTTTAATCTCATTTTGAGCGTCTTTCAAAGTAACTTGATTAAACACGCATTTATTAACGATGTTGGACAGGTTTATGGATATGTTCTCCAAAATTTGTTCGGTCATTCACAGATTTAAAGATGGGAAACAAAATAAGCGAAGAAATTATGCATCTAAATAAATTGCTCAATTGAAAATAGTGTAATATATTTTTTGCATAATGGAATATTCTGTTTTCGGGCAAAATATTTTACATCAATAAAATAATAGTTTTTATTATTTTGCTCCTAAAAAAAATAAAAAATAAAAAAGTAAATTAAATACTCATTCTATATTCATTTATATTTGTTTATATTTTATATCATTTTATGGTAAATTGTTCTGAAATATAAATAATTCATAAATGATATTTGATTCAATGTATGTATACATTTTTATTATTATGTTATTTATGTATTTTATTTATGTATTTTATTTTTATATATTTATATTTTATTATTATATTTATTTTTACTATTATATTATATATCATCATTTTATCTATATATTTTATATTTATCTTATTTTATTAGTTTGATATTCTTATTATTTATATTTTATATTATATATGAATATATTTTTATTTATATATAATTTATTATATATTAATATATTTCTTTATTTTATTTTCATTTTGATTATATTTTTATAATTTATATCTTCTTTCTCTTTATATTTATTATTATTATTATTTATATTATATGATT